AAGCATTCATTGCATTGTTCGACTTAAAATGAAATGAATTAATAATTAGCAAAATACAATCGGTTTATTTCAAGTTCGCATTTTGTTTGAATTTCATATCGGATTACATAATTTCGATCAAGTGGTGCTTTCCACGCCCATTCTACAAGTAACGTTCTTGAAAGTATTTGAATACCATATAACAGATAAAAACATGAGGGAAATAAACATTAAATAAAAAATAACAACATACATCTATATACAATAATCATGGATAATATTTACTTAATAATATTACATACATAATGTAAAATATATTCATACATGGGGATTAGAATAAAAATAAATGAATATTACAAATCAAAATGAAAAAAAAAACTTACAGGACTAAAATAGAATTAACAAAAACTTGAAGGACTGAACAATAAATATAAATAAACCAGATCCACAATAGTCAATATTAAACAATACATGCACTAGAAATGCAAATAAGCCATAAATAACAATAAGGACTAAAATACTTAAATCATAAGGATGAAGGAGTAAATAACAATTAAACGAATGTAAGGCAGTGACTAAAATAGAAGATTTTGCAAATATTGTGGCCAAATTTGAACATTAACAAGAATAGCATAATGAATAAACTGGTGACTTGAATGAAACAATTGAAAAATACATGCCTGAAACAGAATATCATTTTTTTCATTTAATGACTAAATCAATAGATTACAAGGAACTAGGGACATAATCGACTATTATTCCCTAACCAGAAACACAGAGAAGAGGGTGCCCAAAATGACACCGTTCTGGTTCGCGTATATAAGCCTAAATCAAGGCTTAATCATCTCCCCCATTTGTTCTATATTTCAGAAAATCAGAGAGAGAGAGTTTTGTGAACAGTCTCAACTTCCCTCGTCGGGGAAGAAGGAGATGGTTGCCATCAGGAGCTCCGCCGCGGTCGTAGGAAGCCAAAAGGATCCAAAATGCTCCTCTCACCTCTCTAAGCCTTGATCCAAATCTATTTTAGTAAAAAACCCAATCTACAAGCCCATATCCAATGCTTACCTTTCTAACAACAAATAAAACCCGACGACTTCTCGGCTTCCCAACGTTCCTCCGACCAAGGTATGTTACTCTCTTTCCTTTTTTTTCTTGTTTTTTTTTGTTTTTTTCATTTGTTCTCTCTGATTTTCTTCTTCGATTTTTTTTTTGTTTTTGTTTTCTCTTCTGTTTTTTTTTTCTTTCCTCTCCCCGAAGATTCCCTCCTGATATCTCTCAACCTCGAATGAGTTTTTATCTAATCCCCTAATGGTTTTTCTTTATCTTTTTATCTCTGAAAATAAACCCCCTCGGGATTTTAGACTAATTTGTTTTGATTTTTTATTTGGGTTTTCTTTGATTTGCTTGACTGATTTGGTGTGATTTGTGGCAGGAGACCGATCACTGTAGATAAAAATGACGACTCTAAGATGGTCAGCGACAACAACAACAATCACTGGCGACGGAAGGAATCAAATCCCTAGGGTTTCAGAAACCCTAGGGGGTCGGGTCAGATCTACATGTGGGTTGGATCCGGGTCGGATGCTGGGCGGGTTTGTAATATCTTCAATACCGGGTTAGTAACTAAATTGTAAAATTTCAGGATTTGGTGATAAAAGTAGAATAGTTTAATAGTTCAATGATTTATGTGGAGATATTTCCTAAAAGTTATTAGTAATTATTAAATGAAGTGAAGGGCAAAACGATTTTTGACTTAGAAATTAATTAAAAATGGGATTGATAAGGATATAAGGATAAGATGAAAGAGATATTTTCTCCAAAACTTCTCTTCATCTTCTTTTTTTCTTCTTCAACGTGGAGCATACAAGCAAAGGTGAGTTTCTTAATTAGTTGATTATTTATTGATTTAAAGTTTGAGTTTTGATCATTAGATGATAACTAAGCTTAAGGAAAACTTAAGTTATCTTAAAATCAAAAGAAAAAGGAGTCAAGAAAGATTAAAGAAAATGGGGTTTTAAGTGAAATTTTGAATAAGAAGGTTTAAATGAATTTGGAGGATGAATTTGACTTGTCATCTATGAGAATAAGAAGTTAGAAGTGTTAGAATTAAGTTTGAATAACATGGAAAATTTGGTATGATTCTTAGCCTTAAGAATTTGGATGAAATATGAGAGATTATAAAGTGTTGGAATGATATAAATTAGTTAAAGTTGTTATAGATGAGTTTAGTAGCATAATAAGGATTTTATACATGAAAATTTGTGTGAAGTATTGATGAATTTCGGGTGAAAATACCCTATTTTGGACAGGTGCATCGATACACTATGAATGGGTATCGTTGCACTAAGACAATTTTGAAGGTGCATCAATGCATTAAGGGGTGCATCGATGCATGGAAATTTCAAAGTTATTTTGGGTACCGATGCATACATAGTGCATCGGTACACTCCTAAAGGAAAAGTGAACTTTTGGTTCATTAAATTAGCCTAAGTTATTAATACCGAGTTATAAGGTTTAGGATTCTGAAAATCGTCTTGAAATTTATGTATGTAGATATCAAGCCTAAAAGAGTTACGGAACAATCGAAGAGTTAGGATTGAATCAAAGCAAGAAAGGCTAAGGTGAGTGCAATTTAAATTGTACTTATGTGATTGATCAAACACTGGCTTGCGATGAGCCAGTGGTAAGAAGTAACTTCTAAAATGTTATGTGATTACTATGTGTGCATTAGTACATAGAAATGGATGTATGTTATTATATGTTACATGATTTACATGCTTACGTGAAAATGCAACATGTGATATATGTTACATGATATGACATGCGAGTTTACATGAACAAATGAGAAATGATATAAGCCATATGAAACGATCTACGTGAATATATGCACTTGTGATACATGTGATATGATATGAGATATATGGTTACACATACATGTGGTATATGACAGAAGATAAAGAACAAGTGATATGAAATGTATAAATGATAATGCTATGTTATATGGTATGAGAGCTAATGGTATAGTTGGCATGCCAAGAGTCGAGGGTTACCTATGTTCTACGGAACATATGGACAGTTTACCTATGTTCTTCGGAACATATGGACAGTTACATAGGTCCTTCGGGACAAATTTCATATGCCCCTAGTGAGACCCCATACGAGCTATGGTGACAGCATAGTGCACAACCTCAATGTACTTGAATACCTTGAGTTCTCAGTAATGTACATGGGCCTATAAAAGATATCAAAAGTGTTTGCATTATTATATGATGTTATGTGTGTTTCTTTGTGATATATGATATACCGAAATGATAAGTACAAGATCATATGGTAAATGAGTTAATGATAATGGTAGAGATTATGATATATGCATGTATTTATTTTGTTATATGAAATGTTTTATGATTTTTATTATATGTTTTATATGCATCACTAAGTCTATAACTTAGCGTGTGATTGTTTCACACGTAGGTTTCGAGAAGAGGAATATTGATAAAAGTTAAGCAAGACAAGTCAGTTTCTCCTTTCCAAAGATCAGATCAGAAAAGAATTAAATAGTATGCATTTTGTAATAATGATAGTGGTTGACATGTAATAAAAATTTGAATTCGATATGCTTTTATTGGTTTGTAAAATCATATGATTGAGTTTTGTAATGTTTTAAAGGTGTATATGTAAATGGTAATTTTATACGAATGAAAATTTAGAATTTTATGAATTTATACGTATTTTGCCGAAGTTATTGTAGTAGTACATCGATGCACTGTAACAACGCATCGAAACACAATTTATATTCAAACTTTTTCACTGTTCACGGTACTGTTCATAATGTATAGTACTGTTTATAAATACGTTTTTGCCTTAATTTTTTATAATGAAGCATAATTTAATAGTATTTTATTATATTTTCTTAATATAAGTTCAAATGTTTTGTTACTTTGTAAAAAAATATTGTTTTAAAAAGTCAATGTGACATCTCAGACTCGTATTCGGGTCGGGTATGGATTGGGGTGTTACAGAGTTGGTTGCTGAGTGGATCTGTTGGGCTTCACGTTTGGGCCTCCAGGTTGGCTTGGGTTTTGGGGTAGATTGGTTGGCTTGTAATGGGCTTTGGTACTGGGTCGGGTTGAATAATGTAGTTGGGCTTTAGCTTGTGGGGCTTGCAAAATTTGTAATTAAATTTTAATAATAATAATTAATAATATTAATAATAATAGTAATATTTTTGTAGACTCGAAAAAATACGAGTGTATACAATAATATTAACTTAGTAATTTATAATCTAATGATAAAATATTATTAATGATTAAATGTTTATTTTGAGTATAATAATCTTATGAAAGTTTGTTTTATTATCTCTATTGTGGGTGAACTCCGTTTATCACATTAGGTGTAAGATTTTTTGTATTTTTTCATCTTTCTTCCTCGTTTCGTTCCTCTTTTTTATTTTAATGCTTTTTTTGTTTATTATTCATTTATCTCTTTTAGGGTATTTTGTTAAACACATAAATTTTTATTAGGTTTAATGTTTTTGATGATTTTTTTGAACTGGGTAGTGAAATATTAAATTTTAATTGTAAAACATTTTATTTTATTATCTATATTATGAATATTTATTATTGGTGATGTTTCTTATAATTAGAATTATATGTATCCAGGACAGACGTAGTATTTTAAGTTAGAGAGACGAATTTAAACTTATAAAATTTTTTGAGAACGAATTTAAACTTATAAAATTTTAGGAGTACGAAAATAGATTCTTAATAGAAAATATATAAAAAAAATTTAAATATATAATAATTTTAGATTTTTAAGGGATGAACCCGTGTTCCATCCTGTATGTAAGATATTTGATTTTGATATATTTTATGATTATGTTTTTTATATCCATTATTTAATTTTATTATAAAATATTTTAATAATATAATTATTTTTTTTATCGGTAGTTTTTTTTTTTTCCGAATGTTAAAAGTTCGCTCAGAGCAAACTTCATTGGTTGCAGCAGCTTGAAGTACACAGGAGAAAAGAAAAACGGGATTTCTCTTTTTCTCTTATATAAGATTTAGTTCCAAACGATTATCTGTTTCTCTGTTAATCGACAATGAGCGATCAAGCGGAGGAATTGCCTCTTATGGCTCCCCCATCGATCACCGAGCCCAGCGAGATCGACCTCGAGGCCGGCCCTGCCGATCAAATTCAGTGTCGAATTTGCCTTGAAACCGAGGGTATTTTCTACATTTAAACCCTCATTTCCTCGAATTCTCACTTTCTGTTAATAATAATAAAAAAAAAAAGATTTCGTTCCAGCGATTTGCTCTGAAATAGGCCCAAATCTGCTATTCTAAGGTTTCATCAATCTAGTGCTACCAGTTAACTGTTTTTGTTACTGAATTTGGTGAGGAAAATAACAGCAATTTTGACATTAAAAGAAAATTTGAAGAAGAAATTCCTGCGCATAGTGTTTGGTAGACCATGACAAAAAAAAAATGCCACCAAGTGTGATTTTGAAGGAAATTGTGCTAATAATTCGATGTGCAATGGTTTTCATCAGGTAGAGATTTTATTGCTCCTTGCAAGTGCAAAGGAACATCAAAGTATGTACACCGTGAGTGCTTAGATCATTGGCGAGCTGTGAAGGTATTAATATAAATACCCATTTTATTGAATGAAAATTCAAGTGCATTATACTTCACTTTTATTATGGTTTTCTTACTGAGCTTAGAGATGATTTTTCATAACTGTCACTTTATTGGATACGCTAAATTACACTGTAGGAGTTTGGTTTGGGGACGCCAACTCCCCCACCCCACCTAAACTTCAGTTCTATTACTTTATTCTGCCGTGTCTGCTAACAAAGTAAAAATTAGATAACTTTACAGCATAAACAAGATGCATTAAGTCATTTGTTCTATAATGGAGACCAAATAAATAAATAAAAGCTCTCTTTTGACCATATAGATTCCAGTTAAATTCAAGTTTACTTAAGTTGGCTTAGCGTTTCTTTTTTTCACTTGGCTTTTGGCTTGAAATAGTACGAAGTAATATATGTTTTTAATGAAAAGTCAGCCAGCTACTGGTATTGAACCATGTAATTTGATTTCATATTTTACTTTAACATTTTTTTAATGCTGTCCTAGATTGTAATGTGTTCCTAGCTGGAATTTGGATAACTTTTTGCAGTACATCTTGAATGGGAGTAGAATAAATCACATGACTCCAAACACAGAATGATTGAATAACAAATTCGATCAGTGAAATGTGATATGCTAAATTTATTGAATTTTGAGTGATGTAGCTGTATTATATTTTCTTGCATCATTGGTGTAGGTCTGAATGCCCTAATAGTTGAATGTACTTGCTTTGAATACTTACAGATGCTAAGATCATAGAAAAGTTTAGAAATAAATGGTGTGAACAAATAGAAGATTTACAATAACTGGTAAAGCAATATTGATAAAGTTAGTTTTTTAGCTATTTCGATTTTTTGGTGTCAGTGGTTTAGGGGACACTATTTCCCCTTTTTGTGGTTTGGAACCGGAAGCTGTGTCTCATCTTTTTATATTCAGCAGAATAGTGTGGGAATTATGGGGCCGGTTCCTGCATTTCTGGGATGTGTCCTTTGCTGTCCCTGATAACCCTTCAGACGTTTTAGTTACGTGGATGGACATAGTGCCTCACTCAGATATTTGGACCTTTATTCCTGGGGCTATAATGTGGTCGGTTTGGAAGTGTAGGAATGCAGTAATTTTTGAAAAGGGGAAGGTAGATCCATGTCATTTATCTTTTCTTACTAGATATAGATTGGCTGTGTGGTTTCTTGCTAAGTTCCCTAAGGTTAGTATTCCGTTTGATTGTCCTGTGGGGGATCCCTCTTTGGCTGATTCTTGGTGGAGCAGCAGGAAGTTATTTCCAGCCTCTATAGTTTGGTCTCCTCCACCGAATGGTTTTTTCAAAGTAAATGTTGATGGTGCGATGAATAAGGACTGGTCGAGAGGTGGTATTAGAGGTTTATTTCGTAATTCAGTAGGTCTGGTTCTGGGTACCTTCTTGGATAAAGTTGGGCCTGGTCCCCCTATTCTGGCCGAGCTATTGGCTGTCAAAGCGGGGTTAAGCCTATTTTTTGAATCGGCTTGGTGTACTAAGGGAAGGTTGATTGTGGAAAGTGATTGTGCTAATGCTCTGGAGTGGGTAAAAAACCCTGGTTCTTGTCCCGCCCTATTTGAGGTGTTAGTGAAGGATATTGCTGCAACTGTTTTGGATCGAAGTGTAATTGCCAAACACATTCAGAGATGTGCTAACTGGGAGGCGGATGAATTAGCAAAGTTAGGAATCTGTTAATTATTTTCTCTGTATCCTAGGTTTCTAGTTATGGTTTTAGTTTTTTTGGCTCAATTGGTTGTTTTGTTCTTGATAGGAACTTTGTAACTCTTTGGGGAATAATAATAAATTGAGGCACTCTTTTCCTCCTTCCAATGTTCGTTGAGATACTCTCTTGTATTTCAAGGGATATGAAGAGGTTTTTAACGAGGCCTCCCTTTTTATCAAAAAATTTATTCATTAGCCTATGTTGCTTATCCCTTTGAAGCCTATCTACATAAAATAATGACTAGTCCATTGGACGAAGTTGGTTTTAGCTGGTTGTTTCTGCACATGCTCACATGCATAGAATGATAACCAGTCATCTGGAGGGAATTGGACATGGGTGTTAGCATGCTATCCCCATATATCTGTTTGCTTTTCTTGGGCATCAATCTATTCTCCTGTTTCCCAGGCCCTTGCTATACAATATTTAATCATGTAATTTTTTCTTTTTGCAGGAAGGTTTTGCATTTGCTCATTGCACAACCTGTAAAGCTCCCTATCATTTGAGAGTTCATGTTGCTGCTGATAGGAAATGGCGAACCTTGAAATTCCGATTTTTTGTAACTAGAGACATTTTATCCATATTTCTGGCTGTTCAACTAGTATGTAGTCAGCTCTTGATTATTAGTTATGGCTTTGATAGTTTACTTCTACCATAAATATATTTGTAAGGTGTAATTCCGGGTTCTTTTGTTAATTATGTTCAGATCATTGCTTCACTGGCATATTTGGTGTTTCTGGTTGATGGTTACCAGCAGTCATGGCTCCGTCTTACATGGGGTTTCGACAGTGAGCTTAGCTTTTATTACATATGTGGTAAAATCTCAAGAACCTAAGTAATATCTAGAGACTAGTGCAAATAATATAATTTGTTTTATTTTCCTTGTTAATTTGTCTTTTGGATTAATGGTTGATTTATAGAAGGAATACCTTTGATATATTTGTCACTGTTTTTTTAGAGAAATAGTTAATTGATGCAATAGAGCAAAGAAACTTGAGTAATATTCACTAACTTTAACTTTCTTACTGGACATTATTGCTTCCCTTAGAAAACTTTAGAATACGGGATAGTGTTGCTTCCCTTGGAAAACTTTAGAATGCTTTTCTTACAGAATTAACTTTCAATTCCCCTGAATTTGTGAAATAGACTTTTATGGTTCCCGATGTGTAAATATTAAATGTAACATTGGAAGGGTTTGTCTTTATGTTGGAGGTTGTTGCATGCTAGATTTTTATCTCATCTTAATGATTGATAACTAGAGTTGAATCCTTGATTCTAAGCTGAAACGAACACCATGTATTTGTTGAAAAGTTGTTTATTTGAAAGTAATGAAGTTTCCTTCACTATTTAACTTAGCAATAACTTTGTTAATTTGTTTTTCCTTTTTTCTTTTTGTTAAATTTAAATTTGCAAGTCAAATTTTACTAGTGATAGCTTTAAGTTAATTCATTTACATTCTAAAACTGCAATATAAAACTATTTGCTGTGTACCATGCATTGAGATGCATTTTCATTATGGAGAAACTTCAATTAAGAATTTTAATACTGTTAAGACTTGAAATTAATGAATCAATTAATCATTGTAATTGTAAATTTAAAAGTTGAGATATAGTTTTAGATAAAAGGTTTGACTAAAATAATATGATGTTAAATATTTGTCATTATTAGATTAGTCAACCAATTTTTTCCTTGTGTGAGGACATTTTTGTTTATCTGGTTTTATGCTTCAATATTTTTACTTGTGTGAAATACTTATTATCCCAACTTGTATGCTGTTGTTGATGGTTAAACAAAAATGATTGTTGAATACAGGAGCGTTACTATTTTTTGCTTTTCTGGGGCTATCAGGGTGCTTTATTACATGCTATGATCGAAGAGTCCGTCGTGATTTGGCTCAGCCTTGTCGAGAATTATGCCTCTGTTGGTGTCACCCAGGGTATATCTCTACTTGTAAACTTTGATAGCTGTTGTTGAATTATACTGTCTGTTCAGTTACTTCAGTATATTAGTATTCATGATTACTTTCTCCAAAAGTCTGTTGATTACTTATTAATTTGTTAAAGGAGAATGAGTTTGTTACTTGAACGGGTCTACTTCTGTGATTTATCATTGTTTACACAACGTCTTCTCTTTCTCATTCGCACTACCCCATCATTTGTATTGGCTTATGGTTGGTATAGCAGAGGAATTCCGTGTTTATGCCTATCATTATACCTCCATATATGTAATACATGCTTGTGTGAGAGCCCGTATCCACACATGCACAAATATGTGAAAGCAAATGTTATATTTCAAATGATTTCTATTTCTCCCTTCCTTCCCCTCTTTTCTCTTTACTGGTGTGAGACGTGGCTTTATTTTTCCATGGATTCAAGAAAAAGAGGAATATTAGCAAATAATTATTTAACACAGAAAAAAAACTTCAACCCTCTGCATAGTTTAGAAGAGTTTTCCTATGTTGCTCATCAAATTTGAGAAGTATATTGAATTCGTATTTTTCGTTGTATTGATTAACCTAATTTTAAAGCCTATGCAATTTTGAAGTTGGTTAATTCCTATAATGGGGATGTCATTGCCATTATTATCACTTCTGATACTGGACTGGGTTACTAGGGAATGGGATTATAACTTGAAATGGTCTGAAGAAAAAAAAAGTGATGATGCATACTAGTATCTGGTTTATTTTAGAGCATGTTGCATTTGCCTCTCATTTATTTGATATTCTTAGCTATTGAAACAGCTCAAATGTTGGGATGAAGCGCATAGAATTTTACTGGGGAATTGGAATATAGTGTATAATATTGGCATGTGAAGCAGTAGATTATTTGATTGAGTAGTTTAGATTAACTACAATTCTATCCTATTTGATTAAGTAGTTTAGATTAGCTATAACTTCATTCTTTTATTTTCTAAATAGGATAGAACCTTCTCTAGGAGTAATTGTAGTTATATTTGAACTCTTCTACTCAGCGTATTTAAATGAGGCTTGTATATCTCTTCTAATCAATCAAGAAATCCAGAGTATCACTTTGATCTCTGTTCCTAAATCCTTAATGTCTACATATAGGCTGTAGCTTCCAAATGGTCTAAAGAAGTTTATGGTATTTAATGGATTCTGGGATCTGATTTATTTTAAAGCAGCTTGTATTTACCTCTTATTTGTTTGATCTATTTGATGTACTAAGCTATTGAAGTGGTTCTAATGACAATGATGTACATTTACACATGCATACCGATATACATATGTATATCATTCAATAATTAATATCTGTGAGAATTGAGGCATACTGATCAGATTATTAATTTGTTCATTTCCTAACTTGCAGAATGTGTGCAGACTGCCGTTTACCTGGCACTCTTTGTATGTGGACCGACTGTACTACATGCTTTGAAAGCTGTGCTAGTGCTGCTAGTGCTGGTGAAGCAGGGCTGCCATTATTGTTTATGATGGCATTGATTGTTCTTGGATTGTTTACTATCATTGGCATATTTTACAGTGTTTTGGTGGCTACAATGGTTGGACAAAGGATTTGGCAGCGGCACTATCACATTCTCTCCAAAAGAATGCTGACAAAAGTGAGTTGAACTGTGTATCTTCATCTTTAATTCTTGTGTTTCTGTATCATTAAGTATTCTTTGAGGCAGTAGGCCAATTAGGGCCAAAATAAACTAGTTGAGGAAGTTAATTTTTGGTGCCAGTTTGTAGATTAATATACCATTTCTACTAGAAGATATGAAACCTAAGGACTAAACATATCACCTTCTTCCTGTCTGTTTTGTATTTAACAGTATTTCCGTAGACATTACAGCTTCTATAATGGGGTGAGAAAAAACTTTGTTTAATCTTATTTCAAGGTTGTGAGGAAATTTTGGTGTTTGAAAATAAGCATATTAAATGTTGCAAAACGCTTGGCTAAAAGACAAGTGGCAAAAGAAGATATATTACATTTCTCTGCACCAGGCAAGGATAGTTGTACAATTTAGGTTCTTTTCTAAATGTAACTTGTTTAAATGTTGACGAGTATTAGTCCAACAAAGCTTTGAGGTTAAAAGGTGCTGGTCATTTATGCATTGTTAATATCACAAAACTTAGATGAACTGATGAAGTATAACCTGAGTGATGTCCATTCAATTTCAGTTTCTTTGTTGCTTCATTTATTTGTTATTTACAAATTAGCTCTCATAATTCCTATAAAAAAAATTAGCTCTCATAATCATTTGAATATACTGCAGCACTCTTTGTTTCTTTAAAAAGGTGGGGTTTTTTTAAGGTTGTGCTTCTAAATTGCTGTTCAGTGTTAACATAATTCACCTTTATGTATAATCTATTAGGAATATGTTGTTGAGGATGTCGATGGTGAAATGACTGGATCTGAATGGTCTCCTCCCCCTCTCCCACCTGAGCATGTCCAACAGCTGAAAACGCTTGGCCTTCTGTAAGTTTAGAACTGCATTTTTGTCAACTGACAAAAACATCATTTAAATATGGACTGGCTCCGTATTTTGGTATGTTAGTCTTCGCAACAGGCTAATGAATCCTCTTTACACCTAAAAAGTGAGTTTGAGGCAGTAATCAAGGAAGAAGTTTTACTATAGTTGACATCATTTAGTTAGAATCATGTGAATAACTATATGTGAGATTCTTAGTCTTCTTTTTCAGTTTCTATTTCCTTTGAAGTTTACTGTTAGATTCACTTCCTTGAGGAAACTAGTACATGGAATATAACCAACAAAATGCTTAAAACACAAATTCCTTGCTAATGATTTCCTGCCAAATATTGGTAACCTAGTAGCGAACTATTTTCTTTTCTTGTGAGTGGTTTCTTGTCTAACCTATCTCACTCAAATTAAGTGTGAGTTTGGAGATCCCTTCTCCGTAATATAATATGTACCCATGGTTAATGCATTATTGAAACTTGAATTTGCTGCTTTATATGTTTACTGATACCATCTCTCTCTCTCTCTCTCTTCATTTTATTGTTATACTCGAATTTGATTGTTTCGGGTACTGGTATGTGCCTAACACAAGCAAGGAAGATTTTTCAATAAGTTTTTTCACGTATTGGAGTATCTTTGGAGGTCATATCCACATATATTTATGTGTCAGAGATGAGTACTTATAGAAAATTGAAGAGTTAGAGCGTGTGTCCAATATTTCACTGCCTACCTTACATGTTTATTAGGATCTTTAATATCTGATATGTATTCTTCCTTTCCTTTGCATAAACCATGGCACTCTACAGATTCTATGCACTTTACATAAAGATAAATCTGCTAGCTAGGTTTCTTTTCATGTTTTTAACTCCCATAAGAAAAGAGTTGATCACCTTTAAGTGGGAGATTTCTAACCTGATTGAGATTCGAATTTTAACATTTGCAACTCTTTCCTTTTCTACGAAAGAATAAAGATAAAAATACCTGGCACTAAAATGTGTCAGGACCAGACTTGACAGTTCATGCTTGCGTATTCTTTCTATATCATAATCATGGTTAGAAATATCTTATATTTATGTAAATTTGTTTGTGCATTATATAGAGTTTGATCTCCTTAAGCATGTGGCTTGTCTATGGCCATGGTGGATATGGACTGCCTTTGGAGTTTTACGTCATATACGAGGATTTGGTTGTAATCATCCATTAAGAATTCCGCGAATACAACCTAAAATGCAAAACGACCAGGTGAAACTCACGTGGTTCTGAAGTACTATTTTTAAAACATTTCATGATAAATCTGAATTTAAAATCAATTGACGGTATGATCCAACTATGGAACTATTGAAAGAGAGGAGAGGTGGAAACGCTTGGCATGTGCAAATCCATTTCAAGACAAAATCTAGAATATAATAAAGGCGTGGGAAATTTGGATTTATCCGCGAATAAGGTGTTTTCCTTTAAGAAAGGAAAACATGGGTCACACGAACATTGTTAATCGTCTTCGGAGGAGTAGGCGAGATTCAATGTTTTAGTTTTTTTTATATATAGATTTATTTACTTCAATTTTAGATATGGTCCATTGATTTAGGTAGGTTGATTTAGCTCAACAGGTTATTACTCAGAGACGCAGAGTTTCTTATTTTTCACTTTTCTTAGACAACTCTTTGTTCATCCGTAAAACGGCCATCTCTGGTTCTTATTTGCTAATTATATACTTGGATTTGCCAATTATATGGATTTTAAACATTCTTTTAAAGCATTGCTTACCAGAAAAATCTAAGATTATGATTTCTTGGATTAAAAAGTAAGTTTAATATATTAATTGGAAAAAAAATCATTTAGCGTTTAACGCGCGTTACGGGGAATGATATGCCTTTGTTTTTAGTTCTGTTAGTTGGCTGGTTCTTCATCTATATAAAAGTCAACTTTATTAAAACGCGCTATTTGTTTTTTGTGAATTAATTTGGTAAAATTGTAAACAACAATAAAATTAAGTTAAAAATGGTAAATATCTTTTTAAGTGATATATACAAATTAATTTTTTTTACCATGGATCTTCAAATTTAAGGAGTGTTAATATGTGATTTACATAAAATTAACCAATCATAGACACTACGGAAATCAAATTTAAAATTCGAATATCTGATAGTTGGAAGTATATTTGATGGTATAAAAGAGGAATCCAACCCACGTGTTTCACATTCGTTAAAAAAGTGGCTGTAGCCGTGATGGTTTTGAAGCTAAGGGGGGCCGTGAAACAACCAGAGATTACCAACTCCAGTTCCTGTGTAGCGGTGTTGGCTTTGAAGCTAAGGATTGAGGTTCCCAAATTGGGGTCTGAGCCCAAATCCCAGGTTGGTGTTGCAGCTCTCCATGGAGCCCTTTCTGCTTGATCATCACTGGCACTGCCTCCTACTAAAGCCAGCCTTGTAATTTAGTTAACTTATAACCACAAAAATGGAAACCCCCCGCCCCACCCAATTTCATTTGTATATTATGGTCTTTGATATGAAACAAAATTTCTGCTTTTCATGATCTAACTTCTAACTCGGATTCAAATCATATATGTTTTTAAAATATTTATAGAAACAATTTCGGAGCAGGAAGTTAAGAACTTCAGTTCTTTACAGGATCACAGTGATCTTTTATGCTTGCCACCCAAAGCAACAGCCAACAGCCTACTTTTCATCAGATATAACGTGAGCAAAAAGATTCTAAAAATTAATTAGATTTTAATTTCATATATTTAATTCAACTTAAAAAATATTAAATAAAATTTGAATGATAAATTATTACTTATCAATTCGATTAACTTAATTTTCTTTAATTTAATACATTCAATCGAGTACTCGCCCTTGAAAATATCATTACTCGATCAAATCCTAACCATACTTTCAAGTCTTGGGTATCTTCATCTTAATATGCCATGTCTTGTTTCCTCCTCTCGGAGAGTGTTATTGAACGGTAGTGGCTAAGATGCGATTCTATTGGTGGTCCAGGAAGCACGACTGTCACACCCCAAAATTGGGGATTAAATTCTTCTTTAAATGGCAAGGGACTAAATTGCAATAGTTTAAAGTCTAAACTTCAAATTGAAAGGAAACTATTGAAGCAAGGGACTTGGGCAATTATGCCATTTTTTAGAAGGGATTTAAATCCCCCATGTTTGGAAATTCTTCTCTCTCTTCCACTTTCCAAAATTGGAAAGTTTAATTTTCTCTCTCCCGTATTAAGCTTTGAATGCCATTTCATCGTCGATTGAACATCGATTCACATCATCACCATCACCACTGTGTTCTTGACTTTGAAAGGAGTCGGCTGATGTTCTCGGCATTGTCATCATTAACTTTGTGGATGAAGGTGAAGCAAAGGAAGTTTGGGTGTTTGTAAAATTATCTTTCTGTTGCACCCTGTCGTGAAATAATCCCAGTGACTCAAAATCATCAAAATATGAATTCTGCAAAATCTGATAAAAAATAATGATGACCGTTGCCGTCGCACGTGCCCCACTCGCCACCTCTGCGCATGGGCTTCATCTACCGCCTGGGGAGTTTTCTGAACCGATTGGACCGGTCTGAACTGCTTGAAATGATCCAAGTCGAGCCATTCGAGCCAAGCAGTCAAGTTGGGCCGCTGAGTAAAGCAGAGTCATCGTTGACCCATAGATCGACCATTAACTTTTTTCGAGACCACCTATCATGTTGTTTTTCACGTCCTAAGTCAGTTTTTGGGGTTAGTTTCGCCAAATTCGAATCAAGTAAGTTGTTTTTTGGCATTTTATTTTCTGATTTAATCTGATTTTCACGTTAAAGCTCTGATTCTAATGTAATTCTTTTTTCCATGTATCGAAATATTATAGGACATCAAATTCAAGTTCAAGAGTGATCAAGTAATGGTAAATGACCGACTGTGTGGCATAAAAATCAGGGTAATACTTTATTATCCTATGCATACTTTATGGTGTATGTTGGTAATTGATCGGTGCATGAATAAATATGAGTTGGAAATAGTTTATGGTTGATTATTCTAAATCAACTCTAATATTGGTATAATGTTAGAAACCTGATTAAGACTTTTTTTTAAGAAAAAAATACTTATATTCTAATAGCATCATCAATTACAAGTTGTTTAATACACTCAGGTTCATACAGGAAGAACCAAAACAGATTGTGGTTCGATAAGGCCCATTGAGCCAATGTATGAGCCACTCTATTTGCTTCCCTACTAACATAGTGAACTTTGATGGAGAGAGAGTCAAGAAGAAGTGCTCGATCCTTATTGAACAATAATTCAATCGTAGATATATCCTGGGTCTTGTTTGTGGACTGATTAGACAACCTTTACACTACCGAGATATCATCACCTTCAATAATCACATTACTCCACCCATTCTCAGTAGCTAGTCGAATCCCATGACTGAACGCAGACGCTTACGTGGATTCAGCCGTATTAGGAGGGTCAATTTTCGTAGCCATACCACCAAGGGCCATGACATTCGAATCTCGAGCCACTATGCCTACCGCAGCCTTATGAGACTCTTTGCAAAATGCTCCGTCCATGTTGATCTTGATCGTTCCCAGCACCGACTTACACCACTTTCGCAGTCTGTGAGTAGGGGTCCCTCCACTAGGGCAATCGAACAGCTTGGAAACCTGCTTAAACTCACCAAGAAGATTCCAAGCTTTTAAAATAACATCTCTGTGTGGCTGAAACTCCGCATCATGGATCCATTTGTTCTTACGGTTCCAAATATTCCATAGTAACGCGAGGAACATATCAAACCCTTATTGGTTAAACTTGGAGTGTACACATTTAAACCATTCAAGGCAAGAATTCCCTTCCCAATCGACAATATCCTGGGGAAGGCCCGACAGATGAAGAATAGGTTTCGACTTAGAGAAGTCCTCGCGTGCAGAGCCGACTCAAGTGCCTCATTGCAAAGGCTACAAAAACCATCCCCCAGATTGGTTTGTTTGAGTTTAACACCCCCGTAAGAAGAACTTCATGGCAGAGTCTCCAACCAAAAATTATAATCTTTAGGAGAACGTTTTCCTTAGCCACAACATTCCAGATACCTTCCACGACCATGGCCGGACTATTCCGAATCTTCAACCAATTATAGCCTGACTTGGCCTGTAACATCCTCAATATCGGGTTAGTGATTAGATTGAAAAATTTTAGAAATTGGTGATTAAAGTAGGATAATTGAATAGTTTAATGATTTATTGGAAATATATGATGAAAGTTATTTAGTAATTATGGAATGAATTAAAGGGTAAAATGGTCAATTGACAAGTAAGATTTTTATTCTTCCTTTATAAGAAAAGGGAGCCACGTGGAAAGGGAGAGATTTCTCTAGAGTTCTCTTCTTCTCCTTTCTTCTTCTTCACGTAGAAGCCAAGAGCAAAGGTAAGTTTGATTTAACTGTTGATTTCTTGAATTTT